GTGGACTGTTTGTAACATTTGCCATACATACTATGGTTTCTTAGAGTTTCAAATAAAACATTTTATTATGAGGATGTTTTTCTAGTTCAAAAGATTGGCTGGATTCTAGAGGAGAGCATGGGTAGAACTCTTTGCCCTATGTTTATGCTCTTTTCTAACCATGGCACTCTGACAAAAGGCTCCTCCACAACAACACAGCCCAGCTTCATGTTTTTAACCCCTTAGATATTTAATCATTTACCTGTCTGTGGTAGATTGCAGTGCAGTTTCAGCAGGCATAATGGTTGATCTAGTAGCCTTTCTTCTATTCCAATGGTATCAATTTCATTGAGGGCTGCATTAGAGTTGTGTTTTACCTTGGTGGGGTGCAGCTTGATGGCAGTCTTGTGAGGCTCCCCAAGTGCTCTGCCAGCGAAACAGGCTCCCAATCTCCGTTTTCTGCTGGGATGGCCTCCTGCAACCCTCTGCCAGCAAAAACAGAGCTCGGGACGGTCGTGCGGCAGAGGGTTGCAGGAAGCCGTCCCAGCCGAAACCAGCGATTGGGAGGCTGTTTTCACTGGCAGAGGCACCATGGGCCGGTCCTTCGCTGTTTCAAGGGTGGCCCTGCAGGCCAGATCAAGCGGGACTTGAGTTTGACATTCCTGTTCTATTCCCTTTCAGGTCATCTGTGTACCTAAATGACACCGAATGGCTTTTCTTAATTCTTTTTGCTGCGGACCTCTAGGTTATCCTGGGTGAATTGAGTGGTGATTTTATTGCAAATTAAGGATGGAGAGAAATGAAAAGAGAGGAGCTGGGTGGAAAAGGTAAAAATGGCCTCATGTATCGGATGAGCTTCGGAAATGAGAACCTTGGATGAATTTCTGGGGCTATTGATTGGTAAACAGTTTATACATCCTGACATTCATAATCTTGGTGTGCTGCTGATAGTCCAGATTAATGGACCCAGTGGCTGTCCATCCGTCACTTCCCATTAATTGCTAGAGAGGTGTTTTTTTCCAGTGATTTACCTGACAGCGGGCCATGATAAATATCCCTAAACCAAATGGCCAGTAATTAATCATGTGGCCACACCCTTCTCCAACTCTTTCTTCGCCTTTACCAGAGAGGACAGTACCTGAAGCCATCTGTCTCTATATACGTGACCTGATACATATTTATGGGGGCCTGGGACCTGGCAGAGAGCAGCAGCCTTGGCTGTTTGTGTCAAAGCTTATGAAAAATAAATATCCCCTGGCAGAAGGGGGCTGCAAGTACCTGGGCCCTTGGGGTAGTGGTTAGGTTTCAGGTTGAGGGGAATTGAATAAGAGGAAGCAAATATAACTGTTTCAGTCTTGGAAGGGAATATGGACTTACAATGAAGGGAGACTGTACCTTGCATTTTTTTTTCTTGGCTCTGAATCATGAAAAAAATTTCAAACTTAAAAATGTAGCCGAGAGTGGTAAGCTAGCCTGTTGTAATCTGCTGCAAGTGTAAATTGGGCTATTTCTCCATGGTTAAACTAATCAAGGAGAAAACCAACCTAGAATTGAGAAATTTCCTAACCACTAGAACAATTAATCAGTGGAACGACTTGGCTCCAGAGATGGTGGGTGCTCCAACACTGGAAGTTTTTAAGAAGAGATTGGAATCTCTTGGATACTTTGGGAATCCTCAAAGCATTTATATTAAATTCCCTGCATGTCCAGAATTCTTTGTTCTCTTTCTTGGTTGAAAATGGGTTTGATCCAAGGCAGGAAATGCCAACTGGTATTCTTATAGATAGCTGGCAAATGAAGAAGATTCTGTATGGGTATACACTTTATGATGAGTGCATTTCTAACATTTGTGGATGGTTTGGAACCTCTTCAGATGCATGAGAAGGAATGGTAGATAGAACCGGGGGTTTTCCTCTTTTATTTCTTCTATCTTTTTTGCATTTCTTCTGTTTTACCTTCCATTTTCTGAATCAAATGTTCATTTTTTGTAACAATTCTTTGTTGAAAATTTTCTAGCTGGGAATTTATATTAAGGAACCTGAGGGTGGAGTCAAAAGAGGAATCAGCCTAGACTTGCTATGTAGCCACAAATGGACTAAGTCCAACCCCTCTTGGAAACCTCTTGAATTCCATTGACCCTTATCTACTGCCAAAATATTGCTAAACATTAGTTGAGTAGATTCTTGTGCATAGGCGTGAATAGTAATACATCAGTTTAATTGGAACTTCACGTGTGGACCTGGTCTTTTGCATCTGACATCATGTCATTTTGCATTGGTATGGCTAGGATGAATTAAGGTAGGTTTAGACTATCCCCACCTGTTTACTCTGAACTTTGTCAACAAAATAAGTGCAAGGGTAATTGTATCTTAGTTAATATTGATATCCATTGATCTTTCCAAGAAGTTAATCAAGCAAGGTTTCATTTATTTTATTAGTTCTTCACTATTCTCTAAAAGCTCCAACTCTTTCTTGGAGGACTGACTGGGTTGGATTAGGAAACTTCCCCATTTTGACTGGGTTATGGTGTTCATATAACCAAGCCCTATGCCAAATAGGGATTTATAGGCAATAATCCAACACCTTGAATTGTTTAAACTAGAATAAACTCCGCGTTTGGGAGATTAAAATGAATATTCTCCTGCCCTACTACTTTCTGAGCTGTAATATTCTCACAGTACACTTACCCCATTGTTGAACCAGAAAAGCACATTGTGTAAATACTGCCATCCTGTCATAAATCCTGTCTCGCTCAATAACTGTTGTTAGGCGATACAGATAAATGCATAAAACTGAGCTCTTTATATGCCTGTGGTATGTTCAATACAGTATCTCTGCTCTTGCCTTATTAATGTGCAAACCATCATTTAATACCATATATGCTATATATTTTTGGAACATGTGACATTTTATAGTCTGTCGATCTTTTGCTTAAGGGGCTTAGATCTGTCCCTTAGGAACCTGTCAGTTTAGAATATATATACTGTACTTCTTACATATCCAGGGGAATGCAATTGCAAAAGAGAAAAGGGCATATAGCAAAATCCCCTCCATGGCATTTGGAGAGGAGGAGGAGGAAGAGGAAGAGGGGGATAGGGGGAAGGAGGGAGATAGGAGGAGGGGGTGATTCCTTTTTCCTTTATAAAGCTTAGTAGATTTAAGTAAGTATCCATTTCATCTCCATATAGAGACAGGAAGGATAGAATGTGTTAGAGACTAGAGCTCTTTGTAGACCCACAAAGCCACTGAACGCTTAGACCTAGTTCTTCAGATGAAACAGGCAAGCGAGCCACGGAAAACTCCTTCTTCAACTCAAAGACTTATATCTCTTCAGTTCTTTATACAATATTATCCTGCTTGCATAGTTTGTTTCCTATTTTCCCCAAAGAATGATGGATTCAATATTAAAAAAAAAAAAACTTTGGTCAAGGAACCTTCATTGCTTCCTTTTCAGAAGTAGGAAAACAGGAAGTTTAATCTGTACCTCGCCATTTTATGCTATATCCAGCCAGTATTGTCCACTGAAACGGAAGTGATTCTTTTGACCAGAAGAGCAGAACTCTTTTCTATCACTTTCTGCATGCAAAACATGTAGTCTTATCATTGAGTTGTGGTCTGCCCCCTAGTCTCTCAGGCAAGGACATAAGCAAAAAGTATAATAAGGCAGGTTTTCTACTGTTCCTGAACTTTGTGGGTGCTCTATGTCATGCAGAAATTGGTAAATACTTCCCTAGTCTTCACTGACTCAGTAGAACATTATCTGATCACCCTCTAGAGAGAGTTCTGCTTCCTTTCATTAATTGCTCCAAAATTTATACAATTTTTATTCATTTATAAAAGCAATTTTCTTCAAATCTGCTAGTCTGGCCAGTCAGTTAATATACAACACATTTAAAATGTGATAGGGTAAATAGAAATTGCGTGTCTTACAGAAACACGATCAAAAATTATGAATTTGTTAATTAACAAAAGAGCGTCTTGACTGATTTTTATTCCGGAGATTTGCACATATTCTTTAAATGAAGAGAAAAGCAAATAGCTAGTTGTGCAGAGTGTAGGTTAATAAATCTGAGTATTTTTTAAAAGATTTTTTTTTCTCCCACTCTAGAGCAGAGACACTGAATGATATGTGCAGCAGCTTGAGCCTTGAGGCTAGAGACTAGAATTACAATATAGAATAAAATTGCATACCTATTTTACTTGCTACTTCACCTATCCTTAAACATACT